TAATGTAATAACATGTATTAGTGACGAGAAATATTCGTAGTTTGCTGTTACTAGCGGCACTGAAACTGATTCGCCGGTCACCCACCAGAAGAACACACACGACTCCCGCCGACATCAACAGAGCGCCAGCCGACCACACAATGTAAGCATGACCGCAGCCTCATAAATTGTAGACCCGGTACAATCGTATGTTGTGCTTCGTTTTTACTTATATTGCGAGCAACTTCTTTATTTTTTATGCATTTGGGCAATATAATTAGTCTGAAATAATATATGCAAATAATCTTCATATACCAATGGAAAACAGATGCAGAAGTATGTTGTGCTTCGTTTTTACTTATATTGCGAGCAACTTCTTTATTTTTTATGCATTTGGGCAATATAATTAGTCTGAAATAATATATGCAAATAATCTTCATATACCAATGGAAAACAGATGCAGAATTTGCGGCTTTATGGACCCAGATTTTGAAAGTTGTGACGATTTGTGTAATAATTATTATCCGCGTGAATTTAGAGGTACTTTAGAAATAGCGTTAGATCAAATTTGAATACTAATCATCACGTTGAACGCCAGGAGCGAAATCCAAACCATGGCCACTTCTCGGGCTTTGATATAGAAGCTTTGCACCCAGATTGGCTGTGTGAAGAATTGAAGAGGCTGTTCCCTGCAGACTCTCACCCAGCTCGACCATCTTCATTCAACACCCCAGGTACAGACAACTCATGTTTATTGCGCCATTTTCCTGATTGCTTCATCTTGCTAAAACCTTATTTTTATTACTAAATTCAGAAAGATTTTGGGCCCACCTCATTGGCTCTGTTTATATAATATGGGTCTACAATTTATGAGGCTGCAGTCGTGCTTGCATTGCGTGGTTGGCCGGCGCACTGTTGATGTGGGCGGGAGTTGAGCGCTTTCTTCTGGTGGGTGACCGGCAAATCAGTTTCAGTGGCGCTAGTAACAGCGAACTACGAATATTTCTCGTCACTAATACATGTTATTACATTAATTGTTCTTACCTTAAATCACAAAAGATGTTCGAAGTGACTTCCTTGTGCTTGTAGGCAAGCTTCACATCTCGTTGACATGTTTCGAAATACTCGACGAAGCTCTTCTGGGGTAATTGCCGAAATCAGTTGTCAAATATTTTCTTTAAGTTCTTCTGTAGTGTGCAGATTGTTTACATAAACTTTGTTCTTCAGCATGCCCCACAGGTAAAAATCGCACGGGTTTAAGTCTGGGGAACGCGGAGGCCACTGATCGATAACTTGTTCATCAAACACTTCTCTTAATGCTAACATCGACCGATTAGCTGTGTGAGCTGTAGCATTGTCTTGCGTGAAGAAACCGTAAGTCTTTTCTTCATTGGTCATTTCTTGGAAAAAGGGTCTAAGTATTAAATTTACATAACGTTCACAATTTATGGTTTCATTATAAAAGATGGGCCCTATTATTCTCTTGGAGGTAACTGCACACCAGACTCCAACCTTAATGTCATGAAGAGGATGTTCATGCAACTGATGTGGATTTTTGGAACTGTAGTAGCGGTTGTTTTGAGTGTTGACATATCCACTTAAATGCAATCATACTTCATCACTAAAAAACAATAGCTCAGGATTAACAATTCCATCATGCACGGATCCCAACAACCAATTGCAGAAACGAAGCCTAGCACCAGTGTCAGGATTTGTGAGTCTTTGAACAACAGTGGTCTTATATGGTCGCAATTTCAGAAGTCTCATTGCTGTGTGAACAGATCCCAATGACACGCCAGATTGTGCAGCTAAACGTGCCAAAGATTTCCTTGGACTTTTTTATAAGAAAGCCCCAGTTTCATCCAATTTCTCTTCTGTCAATACACTCCGTTTCCTGTTCTTCTTTTTATCCAAAACTGATCCCGTACTACGAAATTTTGTTACTAATCTCTCTATCATGGACTTGCTAGGAACACTTACACCAGGAAAATGTCTGCGAAATTTACGGAGGCATCTTCCGTAGGATAAATATTTGGCATATGTTTCGACCAAGAACACACGTTACTTAGTACTATACACCATATTATCAACGCCAATCCGCAACGAGAGACGCAATGAAACTGATTCGCCGGTCACTCATGGGAAGAACGCCCAATACTCCTGTCCATGTCAACAGATCGCTGGCAGAACCGCAGTCTCAGAAATTGTAGACCTGGTACATTGGCAAATCTGAGCTGTTATGAATGCTTTGTCATTGCCGTGACATCTCACAGATCCTCTATGTGACATTAGGTCTGGTTCATAATGGGACAGAGGGGTGGGGGGGTGCAGGCATAGATGTGTGAATTCTTAACATCAGCACCAAATGCAAGGAACCTCACTGAATCATTTGCCATCTCCATGGATGTGTCTAGGGACACATTTACTAATGCAATTCTTAAACTGCTGGACATTAAGTAGACCAGCATCTTACCACTAACTTCCAGGCACTAATTCATGTTCACTGCAACTGATTTGAGAGTGAAATATACGAGGTGCGATCGGAAAGTTTCCAGACTGCGCCTATAAAAACCCGTACACTTATCTCAGGTATTAAATTCATCCATCACCCTCGATCGGAAAGTCTCCAGACTGTGTCAATAGAGGGCGAACCGGATGTAGTACGAGCTTCTGCCGCTAGGGGGTGCGGCCTACATTCATAGTGAATCAGTGTGCCAGCCGGCACCATCGAATTAGCATTTGTTTCTTAGTTACGGGCGTTTTGGTAGTGCATTACACCGACCCTCCTGCGGTTTCGGAATGGCGGATTTTCATGAACAAATCAAATTTTGCCAAAGACTCGCCAAAACGGCTACGGAAACCTATGAAATGCTAAAGCAAGCATTTGGGGAGTCCGCAATGGGTCGTGCACAAACTTTTGTGTGGCATTCACGTTTTAAAAATGGCCGAACCTCTGGCGATTATGACGAGCGTTCTGGA